AGTCTATTTGGAAATTTCACCCCGAACTTATTGCAATTTGATATCAAACTACTTAGTTTGATATGTAGTGTTTCAGGTTGTGAGCGAAATTAGAGTGTCTTTGAGCATGTAAGGATCACTAAATATTTTTATTTTAATTAATTAATTTATTTAGATAGATGTATTAATATATTTTTAAATTATATGACATGATAGATTCACTCAAAGAGAGAAAATTGGTTGGAACATCAACGATTACACGATCTTGCTTATATAAAGTATAATAAAGCTTTGAAGGCTCATCATGATTTGTAAAATAGAATTGATCCAATCTTATTGCAAGATATTGATATTCAAATGAGTGGTTGGTGGGAGAAATGGGTGCCAACTTGCAAGATGCCGAAGACGAGCTTGTATTTGAAGATAATAGATTGATATGAGGAGATGTGGCAAGAGCTTGAGAATACAAACATATACAAGACAGATGACAAAGAGATTTTCTTAATTTAATCATATATTTTTATTTAAAATTTTAAATAATTATATTATATATTTTTATATTTTAGCATCTCACTTCGCTCGGTCGAGCGTGTGGGCGAGCGCTTAGCGCTTCAGGTATTTTTGGACCTTGACGTCTTTTGACGTCTAGCGCTTTTTAAATCACTACTCGCTTGTTGCTCTGCTTCTTAATACCAGTAATTAGTCTCTTGTTTGTAAGCATAGATCAAGTTGCAATTTGTAGTGCTTAACCAACCAATCTATAATCATCTGAGTCATATATGATATGGAATGCTAGGAACAAGGTTTTTTATGTCTATTTTAAACAGCTAAGATGCACATTGTTGTCAATGTTACACGGCTCTAAGGGTTTATCTACTGATGATTTGTCATCGACATCCACTTGCACCCTGTGGGAGTTGTTGCTTCTGACTCAGGTACACGTAATCTTGTCTTTTTTTTCCCTGTTCTGATGTCCTCTGTATAGCATTTAATGTTGAATTTTTTGTCTGCTGACTTGTCAGTTCATGATTGAGCAACTTTTTATAGTGTGGTTAATAATTGTGGCCTTTTATGGAATCTATTGATCTGGATTCGGTACATCATCCATTGCAGCTGGTGGAGGTGATCATATCTAGAAACGTATTAGTGTAGTGCTAGAGTATAGGGTTGTCAAAAAAGGAAAGGAGGTGCTGCTTTGCCCTCATGGCACTTTGTGAGTCTCCTTTAATAACACACAATGAGAATGATTGATTGATTGTAGATTGTTTTCTTAGCAAACTCTCCCAAAATTAGTTTTTTACCCAAGCTGTTGTTTGACTAATCAAATTCTTGATAAACAATTTGAGACTATTTAGCTACAGTGCCATGTAAAATTATGCATATAAGAATGTGCTAAAATAATATTTTATAAGTGCCTTGCACTCCAAGAACATTGATCAGATTCAAAATGATTGCTTCAATTAAAAGCAACCCAATAACTCAATATAAGAATCAAGAAGATAACATTTTCCTAGAAGCATTATTTGTTGATTATATTCTACTGCAATTGTGTCAGTGAATCAATTTGCAAAGGTATTCATGAGAGCATATGCTACAAACTAAATGTTGTTGAGGATCACCATAGCCAAACTTGAGACATCCACCAGAGGCATAATATAGGTTACTTGATGCAAATTTGATATTTATGCCATTTGTTTAAGTTTCTTAATATTGATGTCAAAATGTTAAGAAATCATTTACAAGCAAACACCTGTTGCCTATAAATACCCTCATCTGACCTATTCTCTTTCCAGCGAGTACAACTCTCTCTCTCTCTCCCTCTCTCTCTCTCTCTCTCTCTCTCTCTCTTTCTCTCTTTCTCAGTGGGATCTCTCCACTATCTTTTGCAATAAAGCTTGTGGGGTTTCATTTGCTTGAGGGGTCAGGTTTCTTCTCTCTTCCATTCGGGGCCTGCACAAAGATCTCTCTCTGGTGTGTGTTGCCTTGGCTTTCTTTAAGTCTTTGTTTCGATTTCAAGACTCGTATCTCCAGTCGATTTAGAACCGTGACATGAATTTAGAGGTTCCCCTTTTGTGTGTATGGGTTCATGGCAGAAAGTTCTTTGTTGAAATGCTGTGTGAAGTTACTGGATATTGGAGTTCTAATATAAAGACTATTACATCCTCGTAAAGTTGGAACAATAGCCGTCTCATTGTGCTTTTAATCCATCTGATAGAGAAACAAGTATACGACATGGGATTTACTTTATGAACACCAGGTTCTTCAAACTAAGATGAAGCTACTGCTGTATTTTCTTTTTCTCATCTTTGAAAGGAAAAAAAGCAACTGCTGTGTTGAATGGAACTCCTGTTCATGAGAAGTCTCTTGTGGAAGTAAGGAAGCAGTATTCCAGTAGCCTCTTTTTATCTGAAGAAGACAATTGAGGCATGGTTGGCTGTTCTGCATGGTTCAACTTGCAATTTTCTTGCCTATTTATGTTTCTTTTTCTTTATCTGTTGCAGTAGTAGGTATTATAGCATTTGGGATATATTTTTTGTTAGTGTCATATTTTGTTGTCAACATGATGCTTCGAATGTTGTTGTTGCATCTTCTATGAGTCAGATGCCCCGCTTGAAACATCCAAATTGATTGTTTCTTTGTGTCTCGTCAATTTTATAATAGACTCTTTTCTGATAAGGATCATATCGAAAGCTTGTCTGACTATTTCTTTTTGATACTTAAATCAGTAAAATGTTTCAGAAAGTGAGTGAGCCCTAAGTGTCTGCCTACTTGGGAGAGACTGCCCAAACCATAATTACAAAGGACTATAGTGGAAAATGTTTCCTTTTGGAGACCATGTTGACTGACTATGCTTATGACTGATTGATTGAAAGATGCTTAGGTTACGAGTGTCAAACCTCTTGACAACTTAACTGGTTCCATGTGTCGAGTTCCCAAACATAGCCTTATCATCTATTCGTTGGATAAATAGAGTAAAGCTGTCATGAAATCACTGACTTCTCATGCTTTCCATCTCTCGTTTGCAGCAAGACTGGATGTTCTAATGGACGCCAAACGTGGTGATCGATCAGGTAGCAACTATTCCAACTACGAATCTCCTCCGGTCTACAACGCTGAAGAGATCCGTCCTCATGGTGGAATCAAGAGGTTCAGATCTGCTTGCTACTCCAATGTAAGTTTCAAGCAAGAAGCAATCATGATTCACGACTTAATTGCATCGACATCACTCTTCGAGTTTCCTTGAATTCCATTATTTCGACTGCAAGAAAGATATACTGTGTTGTGCTCCAACAAAGTTCTCTCTGGATTTAAGTGGGTGATCTGCAAGTATCGAGTGGAACTCGATACAGATCATAAGCAGGAAACAAGTGATGATCATTTCCTACACCTGTGAGACATGATAATGACATTGGAATTTAACCTGTAGCCCCCATCCAAATCTCGTATGTTGATATATCTGCTGCTCACTCTAATGACAATATTCAACTCCATTCTTTGCAAGTTTGCAGTGCGCTCGCAAGCCCTCCTGATGACCACAAGCGACACTCTTCCAGAACGCACGCGATTGCATTACTCGCTCGATTTGATCTGCATACATACCGTTTCTGCTCACTTGTGTGACTGTTTCTTCCGATATCCCACCGAAATGGCATCGCCTGTCTCTGCAATTGGATTCGAGGGATTCGAAAAGAGGCTTGAGATCTCATTCTCTGGGCATGGAAGAAGACAAGACCTTCGATCCCTCTCCATGGCACAACTGGATACCATTCTGCGACCAGCTGAGTGCACGATAGTAGCAGCACTGTCGAACAAGTTTGTGGACACCTATATCTTATCCGAATCCAGTCTCTTCATCTACCCTCACAGGATCATCATCAAGACCTGTGGCACCACAAGGTTGCTCCTATCGATCCCTCCTCTCCTTCATCTGGCTGCAGACTTGTCTCTCTCGGTTGCATCTGTAAGATACACTCGCGGAGGCTTCAGATTCCCAGAAGCACAGCCGTTCCCTCATCGCAGCTTCGCGGAGGAGGTTGCGGTCCTCGATAGGCACTTCACTCGGCTTGGTTGCAGCAGCAAAGCATACAGTATGAGTAGCTCGCTGAAGTCTCAGCAATGGCATGTGTACTCTGCGACTGCGGCGCGCTCCGACCGACCTCTCTACACTCTCGAAATGTGCATGATGGGTTTGGACCGCAAGCGTGCTGCAGTCTTCTACGGGAAGCAGCACTACACAGCGTCCGAGATGACCATTGCTTCCGGGATCAGCGACATCCTTCCCGGCTCCCAGATATGTGAGTTCCAGTTCGATCCCTGTGGTTACTCCATGAATTCCGTCGAAGGAGCTGCCATCTCCACCATCCATGTGACGCCGGAGGATGGATTCAGCTACGCCAGCTTCGAAGCGATGGGTTATGATGCTGAGGTGATCGACTTGGGCCGGCTGATTACTCGGGTTTTGGCGTGCTTCAGACCCGCCGAGTTCTCGATCGCGGTCGAAACAGATGGCGTCGGTGAGGAATCGCCACGGGGAGCTGCGTTGGATGTGAGTGGGTATGTCAGCGGAGAGAGAAGGTTCAAGGAGATGGGAAGAGGCAGTGTGGTGTATCAGAGTTTCAAGGCATGTGACTGTGAATCTCCGACATCAATTCTGAAGAATTTGTGGGATGATATGGATCCTCACAGGTCTAATTTGTAGAGGTACGTGGGTGATTCAACAGAGTTTTAGATGTATTCTGGTATCTTTCTCTCTCTCCCTCTCTCTCTCTCTCTCTCTCTCAGAGGTACGTGGGTGATTCAAAAGAGTTTTAGATGTATTGTGGACTCTCTCTCTCTCGCAAGCAACACCCTAAAATTTAATGGGGCTATTCAATCAACCCACCGTGTGGTTTCCAAACATACAAATAAAACGACTGGTAAAAGTTACATTCTATAAATTTATAAGACAACAAATTAATTTGATAGTACTATCCATGACTCAGTTATTTTAGTTTAAAAACTTAAAAAATCTTGTCCTATAATTTATATCTAAAATATTACTATAACGATAATATACCTCTCATTTATCTTAGGTGAGATTAAAGGCTCCAAAAACATCATCTTACAAGATTAAATACCGAATGTTTTATTCTGCGGTAAATTAGCATACTTAAAACATTTATTTTGGTGGTATGTAAATTCCATCCTATAAAATTTGTCACTCATACATTAGAGAGATTAGAGGATCTAAAGCATGGGCCTAAATCATCATCCTATATATGTATATATATATATATATATGTATGTATATATATATATATGTATATATATATATATATGTATATATATATATACATATATATATATGTATACATATATATATATATATATATATACATATATTTATATATATGTATATATATGTATATATACATGTATATATATACATATATATATATGTATATATATATATACATGTATATTTATATATACATGTATATATATACATATACATGTATATATACATATACATGTATATATACATATACATGTATATATACATATACATGTATATATAC